CCACGCTACTTTGAGTACCATTGGGTCACACAGTAGGCCAGGCATTATCCCATAGCACATTCTGTGGTAGGAGTGTCGACCAATTAAACTTGTATTTGCAATAAAAATCAACTAAACTGCTCATTTCGGAGGTTAGGTCGTTTTTATAGACTAACTTAAACGAAATATGGTTTACATATATCATATTTCCGTTCTACAAGTAGTCTCAAAAACATAATTATAAAAGAAAAATAAGTAATATATTCGATTAATATGGCAAATGCAACTTTGTTCCACCGAAAATCCCATCCCAGAATGCGGTCTACTTAAATTTCACACCTACCCGGTGAGACTGTCTGGCGAAGTGGAAAGATGCGAAGGAAAGTTTGTATTTCGTGGGATCCCTCGTTTCATAATTGTTGAGCTTACTTCCATTTCGAGTGAAGGTGTTGCGTGAAGAGACTCGATTGTCAATTCCACGAAAATACGACGACCAGCTGTCGATTAGCTTTACTGGAATATCATCAGAACATAGAGAATATCATACTTACTGTCACATTCAAGCTGCCAAGTTTATGCGACTCGTTAGATTAAATATGCTTATAAGAATGAATGTCTCTCTACTCAGTTGTTGTCCGTCATACGATGAGCGAAAGCTCGACACGTTTACACCGGAATCGAAGGATACGTCCTCGTAAACAGCGTAAAGCCAATCGTGAGCTGATCAAGAGGAATCCGCCGTGATCTTTTGGTGGGATCAACCTTCTAATCTCTTAACCGAAACACTTTCACTCGAAATGGATGTGAAAACATGTCAAAATTATACATTGCATCCGGGTTCGAGTCCCGCTCGGGATGTTAATGCGAATACTTTAGACAAAATCAAAACTGCAATTCACTTTTAGGAAATTAAAAGTGTCAATTCATTGCATACAGAGACTACTTATTTTTGTATGAGTAGCGATCGACATTTTCTGAACCTTTTGACTGTGATTCGTAAATTCTTAATTCGACGGCGTCCTGTTTACCGGTAACCATTCTCTAAATCTGATATGTTCTTTCTCTTCCCAGTTGAAGCACACTTTTACTAATTCCCTCTTTTCTGCCTCACTTTGCCTCCCGTCACCCTCGTCTGACCAGCTATCGGATGCTCCAAGTACAGTACGCCAACGGCTACAGCGAAATCGGCAACATCCGCTGGGAGATTGCGCTCAGTTTGATGGCCATCTTCGCCATTGTCTACTTTGCCCTCTGGAAAGGCGTCAAGAGCAGCGGTAAGGTAAGCCGATACCACCCCATCACCGACCGTAACTAGATTACCTTGACAACAGACTCCATATCCAACATGATTGCGGACCAATTGGCATAAAATGTCTGTCCGTAAAAGCGTTCGTATCAACAACCTTCACATTCAGCAGCCATGCCTCTGACATTTCGACAAGTGAAGCGTCAGCGTAAGGGTCTCTGCGAAATTCCGATTGCTCTGGCTACTGCCTGGCAAATTATGACAAAATATGATACCAGATCTTCGAGATTTCCGCTTCCCAAAGGTACGATGATTGAGTAGCAGCTTCTTGTCAAATGGAATACTCACAAGACGACTTCACTCTTCTCTCATCATTTCACTCAAAGTCAGACTCAAGAAAGGCGAAATTACCTCATCCTCGTTTTGTCCAATCGGACCAGCCACTTAGCAACCGACAGATGAATCAGATCTTCAACAAAACAGGATCAGAGCATGTAAAAGCATGGTCTGTGAGAAGCAACAACCGTAACAACAAACAGCAGCTTGTCACATTCATTCATGAATACTGTCCAGCTTTATCATATACGTTATATTTAGTCATAACTATTTAAATAAATAAATAAATAAATAAATAAAAAATATATAGCTAGAATATATAGATATGGATATGTAGATATATAATAATTTGGTTAGATTATTGGCACATTTACTTGTTTGCGTCTTACCTTGTGCATATGTGTACACGTGTGTGTGTGCGTGTATGTGTGTGTATTAACACACACACACACATATATATTTATAAATATAATTTAATCACTGAGTTTTGTTCGCGCTAGTTCGTTTACGGTGACAAATGGTAGATGGTTGAATCGGTCAGAAATCACTTACTTCGGCTTCGCTTTCTAAAGTGTATTCTCGTCGCGAACGACAGCTTCAACCTCATCAGCGCCCCTAACGGGACTCGAACTCAACCACCACGTCACATTGTCATGAGTGCCCTTGTATGGCCGACCAGCTCAAATTCTCGGGCTTACGATAATTTCAAAACCTACTCAAATTGAATATAAGTAGTATGGTCGAGTGCGATGACAGATTCATTATGCGTGGCCCCATCCTGGTTAGAGTCCCGCTGGGGCGGATGACGAGACCAGTTCAGACGAGCTCCAGCTGGAATGAGAATACCTTTTGACAAGCAAGGCCATGACGAATTAAATGGAAACATGAGGCCTAATCATATTTTTTTGGAAAACTTTAACCCTCAATCTCCAGTCCCCTCAAACAAAATAGCTGGAATACAACTCTTATCCAAGATCCATAGAAAGTCTCTGCACCAAAATACTTGGTTTGCTCGGCAGATCGTAAACTGGACAATAAAACATGACCGTAAAATTGGTAAGCAGTCATTTCCTTCACTCAACCAGAAAGCTTTATCCTAAAGGATTCCATGCTTGCGTTTTTTAGATACCCAACAAGGGCATTTGTAAAATATGCCCATTTAATGGTTGTTTAAAAGAGTGCAAATCGTGACCACTCTTTCACATTTTGTCCTCTTTCTTCTGGGTCCAGGAGTCACGCAATCTGCGAGCATTTTCGTCATAATAATAATAATAATAATTATTATTACATACTTCCCAATCTAATCATGTTCAAGGTTGGGCACATGTGTCCGGCTAGCTTCGAGGAGAAATATCAACTTTTGTCATGTGGCAAGCTCAAATTGCAATTGTGATGACATGATTTCATCACAACCATACAACCAAAGCATCAATTGCTGCCTGACTCATGTTTTTTATTACAATTCAGTCGTGTTTTCACGCGAACCTAGTTTGGACACATCTTGTCCCAACTCTTCGGCTGCAGCATTTATGCCAATTTCCAGCGTCGGACTGTGAAATTTGTACCATTTTCACACGTTGCCCCCATGACGACCTCAACGAGTTTTGTCACTTCCAGCATCAAGCTGTGTCTGCGAGTGCACCAAGTCTACGACCTGACGATGGGAATTGGCGTGACTACTGGAGCAGATGAGTTCGGAAAGGTGTGTTCGACTAGATCCGACCACTTGTCTACAGCAAAAGGCGACTACCACAAAAATAGCGACAACACCAAATCGTCTGAATGTCAAGTTTTTAATATTAAAAGTACCCTTTCCCTCTTGCATGTGCTGCGATTTGAGCACCGACTAAACACACCCAATCTTGGCGGGCAGTGGGAGTTGGTCAAGACCAATCGGCGTGAATTGGGACTCGAACTAAAATTTGTGTGGAATAGCGTTTTTGCTGGAGCTGACCACTTGACTGGCAAGTTAATCAAAGCAATAGACCAAGTTTTTTAGCAGTTTACTTTTTTTCCAATTATGTACATTGTTGCTATGCGAAAAAGTAGGAATATCAATTACTACTCACTCAGTTTGAAGTAGTATCGCACAAGCGTACCAGAAGAGTGTTCTTTTTTTGCCGTTTTCCATTTTCTTCAGGCTGTATGGATAACCGCGACGTTGCCATATGCGATTTTGGCCATCCTACTTGTCCGTGGACTGTTGCTTGAGGGTGCATCCGCAGGAATAAAGTACTACCTCACGCCACAGTTCGACAAATTGCTTGATCTAAAGGTAGGCCACATGTGCGTCTGTCTAGCCACGACAACACAAATTTCCTCAAAATCAAGGAGAATTATCAACTGTTGTGACTAGGAATTGAAGTAAATTGTTAGTTATTATGACTTTCCCTTCGAGTGGAAGGGTGTGAATGGGAGATTCGTGAAACGAATTCATCGCAGTCGAAGAAAGACGAATCGACACGATAGCAACGTGACCAAAACGACTTTGAAAAATTGTGAACTGGCTCGAGCGTCTGAAATGCGTGTAAAGTTTGCCGGTCGAGTACATTAAAAAGTGGTTTGAAGAAT